TACCAATCCCCGCCTGGCTCGGCCTCGAAACCCACCTCCTGCCCCAATCACACGCGCTCGGGGCGCCGAGAAGCCGCGCCTGTCCAGCGCGAGTCACCAATGGCGGTGAGGCATGCCGGGTCAACATGCAATCACTGCTCCGTCGGCTGTCGTCACTTCCGCCCAGTAACCATGGAGATGGAAGGCCGCGGGGTGGGGGTGAAGATGGCGTTGCTGTTTTGCTGCAGGGGCCGAGCCCGGCCGGGCGCGGGCGTCTTCTTTCACGCTGCTTGCAGCGGAATAAGGCCTCACGGTGTGGGGCCCGGCCGGCAGTGACTCTTCAACACGCGGGGGGGGGTCTATTTCTTAAAGTTTGCTGCTCTTCTCTGCCTGACGAGTGGCTCAACCTCGGGCTTGTGTGTGTGAGCACGGGGCTTTCGTGTTGGTTCCTCAGTTAAAAACACTTACCCGATTTAATACTCGGCTGTGAACGTGTTACACCGTGCAGGCTGAGGCGAGGCAGCAACTCTGCCTACCGATGTCAAAGCTCGTGGCCTGAGGTGTGGTAGTTTACAGCTGGATGCGTGAAAAGGTAGATCTTGCGAGCTGAGGAGTTGTAGCTGGAGATCAGCTGCAATTGCCAGCTGGACCTGCTGCGGTTAGGTGGGGAAGAGAGTGGGTGGGAAAGCTGGTTCTCCCAGGAATGTAGGAGACACACCTCACCTGTGTACTGCTAACACCGGCTGGGATCTTGGAGGACAGACACCGCTTCCTTTCACTTCTTCCTGCGTTTTGTTTGGGTTTTTTGTAAGCCCTCTTTCCTAAAATACTTGAGTTGTTATATCATTTTCTTCTACTGGAAACCAAATAGCACACAGAGGGCTTGAACCGTCCAGAGAAAATGAAGCACTAGTGAAATATTGTTAGAAAATAATTACCTAACCCTGCAGACAGCCCAAGGCACCTACTGTTCTTGTTTCATATTACCAGCTTTCTGAGAAGAATGTTGTGATAATTTGTATCTTGCATTCTTTTTGTCCTGTGCCCATACAGAATTTACCTCGCTCCTTGTGTCAGGTTCCTATGCTCTGCCTTAGTAAGAGAACTGCCAGCGTCCGCTGCAGCTGCGGTGCTCATGCTCTCATAATGCCCGAGCACAATCCCCAAGAGGCATCACCACTGCTGTAGAAATCACATTTCTGACCATAACTGATTTCTTCTGTTACTCAGTTACAGCTTGCAGGAGTTATCATTAAATAGTTTGTTCAACAAAGTCAGGCAAAATAAATGGTTAAGAGAAAAAGCTTTTTAAGCCCAAAGAGGGAGAAGTGAACACAAAAGGTGTGGAAGCTTCACATGTATAGAAACATGGTTCATACTGCAGAAACAACTGCTTTCGTTTGTGGGACAGGAATGAACTTGCATGTTAAGTACTTGAGCTGTGGTATGTGTAGGTGTGGCTGTGAAAGGAGCAAGGAAGAGGTAACGGCTTCAGGAGAGCTATATATTCTTTTTATTTTTTTATATATACATATAAAAACCCTGCCTGCAAGAAACACCTGAAACAAGATGACTCTGAATTTTTTGGCTACTTGTGAAATCAGAAGAGGTAAAAAAACCCTGATGTTTTTATGACAGCTCTATGGTGTTATATGTGTACAAGGCGGGGGAAGTGGGGAATATGATATGTGTATATTGAGGTAAAACACAGTATTTTTGGTCTACTTCCTAAGACAATTTTGGATATTTAGAATGTGGGAACCTTCTTCCTTCGGGAGTATTTCTCAACAACTGAAGTATGGAGTCAGCATTTAAGCCATAAGGGTTTCATTGGGGAGACGGGGAATTAATTCTCTTTTCTACCACAGAAAATGCCTCCTGAAGATTCAGTGGGGAAATGCTGGAAAGCTAGTATCATTGTGGCTAGTACGAGATTTTAGCAGTATGTGATTAACATGGGTTTTTTTGAACTTTACACATTTGTTTTTCTTGTTTGCTTGTTGGTAAAACTTGAAATCCTCGGGTATTTCCAGTCCTCATAAGTGTGTGTGTGCTTGAAGTGTGTTGTTAAGTTACCTTGAAAAGGAATTAATCAGAATCCTTTTTAGTACAGCATAAATAACTTCTGTTTTACAGGGTTAGGAGAATATTACAATATGCATGGCTGCTCTCAAAATGGGTCACAGAGGAAAGTTCACTGAGCAGAGATTGATCGCGATGCCTGTATGCTAAGGGAGTGCTCTGATCAGGGTTCAGATCGAATGCAAAGTTCAAAGGTGATGCAGGACACGTGGTTTGGTCACTGAATAACAGAAGAAAAAGAAAGCATGTGCCCTCTGATGTTTGTTTCCTATCGTGGCCAAAGCAAGTGCAGTGTTGTCCCTATGACCATCTGAGCTGTTCAGTGCTTGACTTCGCTGTATGTCTTGGAAGATGCATTTTAGTGCCTTGCCTTGCTCTCAGAAACCCTGGCTGAGCTGCTGCCCAGCTGAGCCTGTGATGGTTCTGTATGAAATAAGTCTCCTGAAAACTAGAGCGTCAGTAGCTGACATGACTATGGTGATCTTAATTCTAGTTGTATGCTGTCTGTATAAATGATTTCGTATTGATATTTCACTACGAAGCCTTAGGGCGTGATTTCTTGGTTGTGCCATTTAGGTCTGTAACAAACAGGAGAAGCATGTTTATTCAGCACTTTGCAGCATGACTCTTAACTATCAGCATACATATACTTTATGCCTGTAAGACCCCAGACCTGCTGAAAAGACAACGGGCCAGAGCCTGCACTCCTCAGGTTTTTCTACAGACCAGCCAACATTTTTCTCAACACACTATGGTGGGAAGATCCAAAGCTGGGCTGCATCAAAAGAAGCGTGGCCAGCAGGTCGAGGGAGGGGATTCTGCCCCTCTGCTCTGCTCTGGTGAGACCCCACCTGGAGTACTGCGTCCAGCTCTGGAGCCCTCAGCATAAGAAAGACACGGACCTGTTGGAGCAGGTCCAGAGGAGGGCCACAAAAACGATCAGGGGGATGGAACACTTCTCCTATGAAAAAAAGCTGAGAGAATTGGGGTCGTTCAGCCTAGAGAAGAGAAGGCTTCAGGCAGACCTTATTGCAGCCTATCAGTACTTAAAGGGGGCTTATAAAAAAGATGGTGGCAAACTTTTTAGCAGGGCCTGCTGCGACAGGACAAGGGGGAATGGCTTTAAGCTAAAGGGGGGTAGATTTAGACTAGATACAAGGAAGAATTTTTTTTACTTTGAGGGTGGTGAAGCACTGGAAGAGGTTGCCCAGAGAGGTGGTGGATGCCCCATCCCTGGAAACATTCAAGGTCAGGCTGGACGGGGCTCTTCCCTGCCCACGGCAGGGGGTTGGACTCGATGACCTTGAGAGGTCCCTTCCAACCCAAACTATTCTATGATTATACAAATATGCATTATTAATACATATACAAATATGTATTAATCAAGTTGGAAGTGATGGAAAAATGAGCAAAAATGCTAATAAAACATGATGTACACCACTTGCTAAGGCAAGGAGGAAGAGAAGGCAGATGCTGGCAATTGCTGCTAACATGGAACAGAAATATCTATCATAAGTGTTTGCTTTACTCTTGCATCATCTCTGTCTCAGGTTTAATATTTTGGTGCCCCTCTGTTGGGTTTTTTCCCTAATAGAACAGTGAGAATACATAAAATAACCACACTAGCTTTACAAAAGAAATAACATGGAAAAATCCTTGGGAAGTAAGATTCACACCCATCACAAATACAGTGACACACACCAGTCAAAATTACTCATTAGTATTAAAAGAACTGGCTAGCAAGCTTGGCTAAACCTGTGCCCTGTGTAAGTCAGGAATGGTACCTATAGCTGTCCCTTGGGGAGAGGAAAAGGGCTAGGGGAAGCTCTTTAGGCTCTTTTCAAGCTAGTTGATTCATGAGGTAATTTCTCCACTGCAGTACGCTGTATTTTGGAATGGGTGCCTGGGTGGAGGAAGAGTGCGGTCTGTCAGTTACAATAAGATTATTCTTTTTTTGTTGTGCACGAGAGCTTCCAGTTCATTGTTATTTAACCGACAAACCAGAAGATATGATGGGAGGACCTCCTTCTCCTTTGCATTCCTACCCTAGATGTCCATAAACACATTTTTGGAAGTTCAGCTGATGCCCTTTTGATCTGGTAAAGAGTAAAGTGTGAAAAGTTCTTTATATTTGCAATATTTGCAAATGCAGGCAAATTTCCCACCTCAGAAAGTCAAATGTTGCAGTAACCAGAAATATATTTTATGAAGTAGAAAAATCTGGCTTGACAAGGGACGTCTTATATCCTTTTGGAAATTGTACTTGACCATTTTTCCTCGGTGTCCTGTTCATGAATGATGAAAATTAATCTTCCCTAACCCAGTGAGAACACTGAGGGTAAACACTTTCTATTTATTGAAAATAAACAGGAAGTATCTATCTGCAAAGGATTACATGGTAATGAGGGGGCCTCAACCATTATGAAATGTATAGTATTACATAATGACCTCAAGGGTAAAAATCTGGGCCAAGACTGTTGCAAACAAAAACGATGATACAAAGGCCTACAGTCCTTAGCAAGCTGTACAAAGGAAATTATATAATTAGGGTACATCTTTTACTTGCATTTAAACAGATTTTCTCCCCTCCTCCTTTTATGTTGTCAGTTTGACATGAGTCTACTATGAACCAAAGAAGACATGAAGGGACAGAAAATGCCATCTCTTCTCATCCATATATTGCACATAGGTGCTACGCTTTGGGGTAGGTTTTAGCTCTATTGTTTGTAGAAAATAATAAGACAATTATTACTCATATTTTAATAAGGGGAATTAATTAATTCAAACACTGTTTGTTAATGGTAAAGAATTTATTTGGGGTAATATAAAACACTCCCGAAGCAAAAGACAACTGTTTGGAAGATGGCTGCACGGATAGCCAAGGCCATCGAGCACGTTGAGCACCCAAACTGTTACCTGCCCACATTTCTGCCCCACGGCTCAGCTGGTGGAGTGCCTCGTGTGGCTGCTCGGCAGGCAGTAGTTGTCCGTTTGTACTGAAAATGGTTTGAAGTACATTGGTTGACTTTGCACTGAGATGGCTGAGGAAAAGTCATCCGGATTGCCCTGTTGCTGAGCTGGAGAGGGCGTCAAAATTTCCGAGAAGACAGCTGCAGCAGGACACTCGCTACCAGCCTAAAAGCTTGTCTGACCTTGCCAAGAAGGTCCATACGACAATGCTAAGTTAATGCAGTTGGTTTTTAAAAAGATTAATTTAAAATTGTTCTTTTATGCCAGCAAGGCCTAAATTAAATGTTAACAGCAATCAGATGCTACCACTTGTGTGAATTAACTTTGAGGAATCCACACCTTAATTACCTCCGGGGGCTGGGACAGAGCTCCCTGACACTGTCTGTGGTGGTGAAGCTGAAGCTGTTTCTAAA